CTAAGCCTAAAAACTTACGGAGAGTGACTGCACCAGAATCTGATAGTGTATCATTGAATAGGATGTGAATTATATTGGTTGAATTCTGCTTTGCATAAAATGTGGTATAGTGATTTATACCCACAAAATCTAAGGACCCCTTTACCGTAGCAGCCTCAGCTCTTGTGAACTTTGGCAATCTGTCACCAACTCTTGTCCTCATTGAATTCGGATAATCTCCAAAGAACAAGGGATCCATAAACCTAAATGCAACGCAATTTGAACAGATTTGTGAAAAACAAAACTTTTGGCATCAAATACTCCAATTTTGAGCTATGTGGCGTCGTATATTTAGCCGAAGAAACTATATTTACAGAACATGGGACAATAATCTGAAAACTAAATGCATGAATGGAGAAGATTGTAACATATGTAGCCTCACCAGCCAAGCTGAAAATCCTGTGCTCTTTGTGTTGCATCTATGTCATCTTGTGAATTTGACATAGGTTCAAACCAAATAACATCAAATGCGATCCCAAGTGACCCTTTTTGTGTTGCCTGCATATTTGCCAAGTTCACTAAGAATATACGGGTACTGTAACTCGTTCAGTTTTCTAAACACCAACTAGGCACAAAAATGAAGTGTTCATATTCACAAAAAGATATATGCTTGAATACCTTATATTTTCTTCGGTATATATCAGCTACTGAAGCATGGGATAAGAGAACATTGTGAGCAACTAGGTAAGGTTCAGTCGCGGAATTCCCTCCTCTACAGAAAAGGCGAAGTAAAATGGAGCAGCGACCAGGGGCTTGAAGACCAACATCATAACCTTGGATTGCGAAAGTGTGAGGCTCATTAAAGGTTATCCAGTGCTTAACCCTGTCACCAAACTCCTTAAAGCATGTCTCTGCATACACTGAGTAGTCCTTTCTACAGAATTTAAAGCAAAAAAATTTCAGTACTCGGGTGCATTTGATAATTACATATTAAGGACATTTCGGATTTTGTTAATAAGGAAAGAAATTCACATAATTTGGCGATGTGCCCATCCATTATATCTGTCTTGTAATGATTGAGGATGGTCCCAATGATAAAGGGTGACATATGGTTCTATTCCTGGAAGATGCACATGTAATGCAAATAAGAGGATGGTCCCAATGATAAAGGGTGACATATGGTTCTATTCCTGGAAGATGCACATGTAATGCAAATAACTACCATAATTCAGAATTCGCTATAAGGAAAACATTGGCCACTTTTATTCATATAAGATGATCAGATTGCACAATATCCACTTACCTTTGGCAAGCAAAGCATTTATGAGTTTGTTGTAGTGATCGATCCCTGCTTGATTAACTTGACCAGTCCCATCTACAGAAAAATCAGCAAGGATGTTGGTTAAAATGGTGGATTTGTTTATGCACCAGAAACGTTCTGCATACCAACGACTTAGAAAATAGAACTTCAAAAGATTTACTATGCAATATCTTGTTATTATGAACCATTCAAAAATAATTGTTTGGATCCTCTTCACTACAAAAGAAGTAGTAAAGAGACCACTATATTGATTTGTCTAGTATCTGGTTATGATTCACTCCAAATCTAACACTCACAATACCCCCATGATTTGCACTCATTTTCTAATTTACACTCAATTCTGATAAAACATATATACAAGCATATAGCAATGATACGTTAAAGGAATGATCCTCGACATGATCACGGTTTTCCTTTTAAAGATAAAACATACAAGCATACGCCTTTTAAGCAACAAATATGATCACGGTTGTACTTTTAAAGATAAGACATACAACCATACATAAATGATATGTTAAAGGAATAATCCTCGACCAAACTTTCTATTTTCTGATAGTTGTCTGAATCCCTTAGTATCAATTAAGTACAGAAATGGACATAATGGTGACAAGTGTATCTCTGTTACGCTTCAAAATTCATCATGTCTTTCTCCAAAATTCCACTAATTTGAATCATGTTTCATCCTTTTGCAATGTTTCAATCCTGTCTTCTATAATTAGTGAAAAGATGCTATGTCAAGACTTTTGTTCTCCCAGTTTTTGCCTCTCTTTAAGAAGTTGTAATCAATATGGACTATTGATTAGGGGCATAAGCGCCCATCTTTTAGCCATTTCAAGAGATGATTCCAGAACGGACTTCAAGATTTGTATAGCGATAAATTCAGACATTGTGGTCCCTAAATGGAATTTATCTGCTCTATGATTAATGTCTTTGGTGTGGATTTCCTTACACTTTGGTAAAAGGTGCGCAAGCTTTAATTAGTGTTCCTTTTCCTTTTGGGCAAATGCTGACATGCCAAAAAAACTCAATTTGATTTTTTTAATGCCAGTTATTAAAGCCAAACAGGTAAATCTATTCAATAAGGGGCTGTTTGGTTCGTTTTTTAACTCGGTGGAAAAGTTTTACACCGTCTCCACATCAGATTTTTCGTGGCCACGTAGCATATAAACTTTCCATCGGTTTTTTTCCCATATTTGGTTCGCTAGGGTTGAAGAAGGGAAACTCGGTGAAAATCGCCGCCACATCAGATTTTTTTTCTCCCACAATTTCTTCCTCAACCTCGTGAAATCGACGAATACTGCAGCCACTTCGGCTTTTTGTCATATAAACAAAAGTTTTCCCTTTTTATCGTGCGAACCAAACACAAGAAAAATAAATACATTGCTTTCCCACCATTTTTTTTGTGCGAACCAAAGCGAAACAATCTATTTCTTGAAAAAATTTGGAAGACTCAAAACTTGTGTTTTTGTACATGGAAATGCATTTCCCTATATCTAGGAAACGAACCAAACAGCCCCTAAAAGTAATGCGAAAACTTTCCATCAAATATGTATTGCTAGTATAGCCAAAAGTTCAAACTGTCAAGTTACGAGGCTACAAGCATGGTATCCATCAAAAACCACCACATCGAGCGATCTAATCACTTATCTAACAGCAATAAGCCTTAAATTTCTGGACAAGTATGCATATATGTTATAATCCTCAGCGGATCATTATAAAACATGAAAACTGCAGTTTGGGAAAACCCTAGTGAGTTTATTAGCTCTCTCTGGGATGTTATTTATAGTGTTTAGGGAAACAAAGAAGTTTGTCCCCACCCGACGTAGGACTAAACAATAGTAAACACTACTCTCAACACTCCCCCTCAAGCTGAACATACATATCGTACATGCCAAGCTTGTTACAAATAAAATTCACTTGTGTTCTCCCAATAGGTTTAGTGAGAATATATGCAAGTTGATGGGATGGTATGTGCATGACTCTAATGATTATCTTCTCCATCTTCTTACGAATCAAGTGACAATCAATTTCTATGTGTTTTGTCCTCTCACAAAGCACTAGGTTCTCAACTATGTAAATAGCGATCTTGTTATCTCTATACAAGCTTATGAGACACTCGGGAGGATAACCAATCTATGTTAGTATATCTCTAACCCAGATCAGCTCGCAAGTCAAATTCGCCATGGCTCGATACTCAAACTCAGTTGTGAATTGAGAGACTACACTTTGTTTCTTTCTCTTCCATGATATGAGATTCCCTCCAAGAAACACACAATACCTAGTAGTTTTTCGTCTATCCTCAGGAGATCCTGCCAATCTGCATATGAGAATGCTACATTCTCGTGTGACTGCTATCTGAATAGAGTACTCCTTTTCCTGGAGTTTTCTTGAGATACCTAAGAATCCTCTTCATAGCTTACATATGAAGTTTCCTAGGTGTCGAAAAAAACTGAATGACTACACTAACAGAATATGCAATATCCGGTCTCGTGACTGTTAGGTAGTTTAGTTTCCCTTCAAGTCGCCTGTATTCTTCAGTATCCTCCAATAGCCCCCCCTGAGTTGATAGAGGTTTGATTTTATCATCCATAGGTGAGTCAATGCCCTTGCATTCTGACATCCTAACATTTAGCAGCATATCAAGTATATATTTTCTCTAGGAATTTTTTTTTCTTCTTTAATCTAACTACCTGAAGATGGTAGTTTAGTCTATACAACAGCCTTAGAATGAACATTGACAGTGGTTTTCTGAATAAGAAGGTAGTCATAATCATCGGGAGGATCTAAGGATTTATCAAATGCAACGTGTCCTGATTTGTTCCCAAAGAAGACAACATCAGCTGAAATAATATATCAATTCAAGGATGGACAATAACATCTGTATCCTTTTTGAGTCTGAGAATATCCAAGAAAGATACCCTTAAGAGATCACGGATCTAATTTCGTCCGTTGAGGACTATGATTGTGAACAAAGCACAGAGACCAAAGATTTTAGGAGGTAAATAAAAAGCGTTTTCAGCTGGATATAAAAGAGAGATCGGGTTTTATTCTGTAAGACAGATGAGGGTAGTCTATTTATTAGCTAGCATGCTGTCAAAATGATATCACCCCAAATATTTTTTTGAACTTTATGATGAAATAACAAGGTCCTAGCAATTTCCAGCAAGTGGCTGTTCTTGCGCTTAGCAACCCTATTTTGTTGGGGTGTGTAAGTATAAAAAAACTGATGTAAAATTCTGTTTTCTTCCAAATATTTTATGAAAGAACTCTCAAAATATTCCTTGGCGTTATCTATCCTTAAAGTTTTGATGGTATTGTGAAATTGATTTTTAACCTCAGTACAAAAAACTTTAAGGCAGAGAACACTTCAAAACGACTCTTCAGCAGGTAAATCCAAGTTATGCGAGACAAGTCATCCACGAAACTAACAACATACTAAAAACCGAGTTTGGATGGAACAGAACAACGACCCCCATACGTTAGAATGTACTAAATCAAAAGGGTTACTAACTCGCTTATTGATGCAACTCATGTAAGACACCCGTTGGTGTTTTTCGACTTGACATGACTTACACTCTAAAGACTCGAAGTGATTTAAATCTGAAATTAAAGTTTTAAGAAGTGAAAGAGGGGGATAAACAAGCCAACAATGTGCTTCAAAGGCTGACGTGGGGCTGATACATGCCACTTGGAAATGGGCAAAGTTCAGTTCGTACAAGCCGTTTGTTCACGTCTAGTGCTAATCGTCTTCCTTATCCCAAGTTCCTAAAAAATGCAATATATAGGGGAAAATGTGACCATGCAGTTCAATGCTTTAGCAATTTTACTGACAAATAATAGATTAAATGGAAAACAAGGAAAATATAGTACAAAAGAAAGTGAAAGAGTATTAGTGTTGGCAGATCCAACGCCCTCCATAGGTATAGTCTATCCATTAGCCAATACTACTGAAGGAAAGGAGATGGTAGGTGTATAGGAGGATAATATACCTCAGTTCATTGTCATTATTGATTAGTTGCTCTTGAATCTATAATCCAAGTATGGGACGATGATGATGTAAGGCAAGTGGTGGGTTTACTTGTCTAGGCAAGCGTAGCCGTAGTAGGAGAGGATTGAGCATTCTTCACTTGCTGAAATAACTGGAGCTAATATCGCTCAAACTGGCGGCGAGTGTCTTCATCCATAGGACTCTCCTGCGTAACCACATGAGCACTCTAGGGTTGTTTTCCCTTTAGGTGAGGACAATGAAATTTCATTCGATCCGGTTCCTTACAATAATGACAATCGATAGAGGAACCATATGAACCGACCCATGTAGCTCCTCGTGAACTATAACCTCGTCCACTACATGCTCAAAGCATCCTCCACATCTACCAAAGCGACCTCCAGCACGTCCACCCCCTCGATTAGTTGTCTGTCTACTCTGTGTGGCGAGAGCAGACCTGTTTGCAGACTTTGCGATAGTACTTTCTGGCGAAGCTGGCACAACTAATCTCAAAAAATAATACGTCTCTGCTAAAGATCGTATAGCAGAGCTCCTAATAATTTGTGGGCTGGCTGCATTGTAAGACTGTGGAAGAGAACCAAGAAAGGTGAATACCATCAGTTGATCCCACTAATCTTTCATCTTTTGAATATCCCCTGTAATGGATAAATTCTGTCTCAGCTCATTTGCGAGGTGATTGAAGTTGCCATAATGCTCTTCAAAGGTTTGACTATGTTCGTCCATTCCGCTCAGAAATAACTCCTGAATGATGTCATACGCCCGATTGGCTTGTCCCCGGCCCGAGTATAATTATTCCAAAAATTTCCACACTTGTTTTACTATATTATAGTAAATTGCTAGCTGAAGAACCTGTGGTTCTATGCAATTCCAAATTTAATGAAGTAGATTAGTGTCATCCTATTTCCAGAAGGCAGTAACTGGTACAGGAAGGTCATCTGTAAAATAATGATCCTTTCCCCATTCTGAAATGTAAACTCGAACTAGTTGCTTCCAAACCAAGTAATTAGACCCATTTAATTTTTGGTCAGTGATCCTGCTAGAGAGCACCTCCGTCTGGGTCTTCATCTCATTAGACTTATTGGAGGACACCATCAATACATCAAATAAGAACTAGTAACCAACATCACTCAACAACTTCCTTTTGGATTCAACAATTCCAACAAATGATGCTTTCTAGAATCCAACAACAAATGATCATTTATAGAATCTAACAACAAATGATCCAAAAGGATAGATTGATTACATCATCACAACTAGTCATCAATAAGTAATTAGTCTAAACCATCCCGTAAAGAACGACTTATCATTTATCTCAAAGAGATTTTTAACGATTGATTGTAGCATGAAGCTAAATAATTAGCTGAAGATCTGTAAAGATCTAGTTAATAAGCTAAATGATTAGCTAAAGATTTATGAAGATCTAATTGATAAGCTAAATAATTACCTAAAGATCTATGAAGATCTTGTTGATAAGCTAAATAATTAGCTTAAGTTTAAAGTTTTTTTTAACGACGGATGAACAGTGGCAGCTAGGGTTTATGAGGGGTGGAAAGTGACG